GCGGCTCCCCGGCCGGTCCCCGGTCCCCTATAGCCCCGGGGGGCTGCGGGGCTGGCCGGGGAGGAGAGGAGAAGCCCGGCGTGACTCAGCCCCCGAGGGAGCTGCCTTGGCCACATCGATCGCCTCCGGGGCCAAACAGCCTCGAGAAAAGCCCAAGTCATCCTGTTGGCCGCCCGGCTCAGGGGTCCGTCTGTCTGTCTGTCTCCCGCAGCTCTGGATGGGCGCGCACCCCCGGGGCGACGCCGTCATCCGGGATAACCGCATCCCCCAAAAGACCCTGGGCCAGTGGATCGCCGACAACCCTGCCTGCCTGGGGGCGAAGGTGAAGGACGCCTTCCAGGGTCGCCTGCCCTTCCTCTTCAAAGTGCTGTCGGTCAACACCGCCCTCTCCATCCAGGCGCACCCCAACAAGGTAAGGAGACCCCCGGGGGGGGGGGGGCAGCCCCGGCTGGACCCCACGGCCCCGGGGAGCTCACCCAGCTCCTCTGCCCCCCTCTCCAGGAGCTGGCGGCGAAGCTGCACGCCCAGTTCCCCGAGCACTACCCCGACGCCAACCACAAGCCCGAAATGGCCATCGCTCTCACCCCCTTCGAGGGCTTGTGCGGCTTTCGGCCGGTGGGGGAGATCGTCTCCTTCCGCCAGAGTAAGGATGGCGAGGGAGGGCGGTCGGGAGGTCGGACCCCGATGCCACCTTCCCTCCCTGTGGTGGGTTTGGGGTGGGGACGGTGGCTGTGGTACTTTGGGATGGGGTGCTGGGCTCCCCCGCGGTGGCGGCCGCCGGGGATGACTTGGGCAAAAACGGCCCCGAGCTGCGGGCGCTGATCGGGGAGGTGGCGGCGGAGCAGCTGGAGCGCAGCGGGAGCGACGACCCCCGCGGCGTCTCGGCCGCCCTCCGCGTCTGCTTCACCCGCCTGATGAAGAGCGAGAAGAAGTTCTTCGTCGACCAGCTGAACATGCTGGTGAAGAGGATCTCCCAGGAAGGTGGGTCCTCTGCCCGCCGCAGACCCCCCCAGAGCAGTTTTGGGGGGACCGTGTTTAGGGGAGGGGACGGGGCACCCCCCCCAGCTCCCTCCCCAGCGTTGCGCCTGGTCTCTGCCCACGCAGCGGCGGAAGGGAAGGACACGTCGGGGAGCAACGGGGACCTGCTGCTGCGGCTGCACTCCCAGTACCCGGGGGACATCGGCTGCTTCACCATTTATTTCCTCAACCTGGTGAGGCTGGAGCCGGGGGAGGCCATGTTCCTGGGAGCCAACGAGCCCCACGCCTACCTGCAGGGAGGTGAGCATCGCGGCGGGCTTTCCTCACCCAGGCCCTCGCAGGGACTGTCCCCCAGGGTGGCCGCGGTCTCCTGCACAAGGTTGGACCCCCCCCCTGCCCCGGCCTAGGACGGGCGGGAGGGCCGGGGTGGGCTGACAGCGCTGCCTCCTCCCCGCAGACTGCGTGGAGTGCATGGCGTGCTCGGATAACACGGTGCGCGCCGGGCTCACCCCCAAATTCATCGACGTCCTCACCTTGTGCGAGATGCTCAACTACACGCCGGCGCCCAGCAGCTCCAAGATCTTCCCGGCCACGCAGAGCCAGCTCGACCCCAGCGTCTACCTCTACGACCCGCCCGTGCCAGACTTCGCCATCATGAGGATAGAGGTGAGCGGCAACGGATCCGCTTCGGGGGGGGGACACGACACCAGGACGGGACACCCCGTCTTGGCTGTGCTCTTGGACATCTGGACATCTCGGTGTTGGCTGGGGTTTTCTTGGCATGGGTTCGCTCGCCCTTGCGGCTGCTGCCCCGGGGAGGATGGAGGGATGCTTGGGGCTGCCGGTGTCACCCCCCGGGCAGCACTGCAGGCTCCCCTCCCTCCCCCGTTCTCCCTGCCTAGAGCTCGCTCACCTTCTCCAGCAGCTCCGGGCAGAGGGAGGAGCGGGAGGAGGTCTCGGGGGTGCAGCTTGGGTGTCTTCAGCTAAGCTGAGGTCCCTGGGCTTGGGCTGCGGCAGGGTGCGGCTCTGGGATGACCCCCCTTCCAGCTCTCCAAAGAGAAGAAAAGCTGGGGGAGAGTCGAGCCGCGGCGACCCTTTCCATTGCAGATCCCCCCCTCCATCAAGCTGTACCTCGTCTCCGCCGTGGACTCTGCCAGCATCTTGCTGGTGATCCAAGGGACAGCCGTGGGCACCTCCACAGCCGCAGCCTCCGAAATGACTCTGCGTCGTGGCTCCGTGCTCTTCATCTCCGCTAACGAGAGCATCTCCCTCCACCTCTCCTCGCCAGACGGGATGCTGCTCT